CAAATAATAGTTAGCACCCTTTTTTGGTAAATGTTGCAAATAACCGTTAACGGAGGTAGTAATTGTTTAAACATTATTTAAACTTATATGATTTTCCATCATGCGTGACTAAATTAGCCTTACCTTCTATTTATTTTTTTCATTTAAGCATTTCTTAACCTCCACCATTATATTAAGCGGATTCCTTCAAAAAAAATTTGTGCTATTATTTTCCTTTGTTCGCTTCTCCAATTACTTTTACTTTTCTAATATCGATCTCACATGCTTGACTTAGTTTCCTTTCCCTTTTCACTTAGTTAAATACTAAATCAATAAATAAATAAATAAACCATTTGAATACCTTCATTCTACAAGATTTCAAGATACATAGGAAACTTTCTAATACCAAACCCCACAAAATGATTTTAAATACTTAATTTAAAATTAATTTTAGAATTGGATTTTAGGATATGTCAACTTGATTTTCTTGTTTTTGATGTACAACACTGTTAAGAGAGAATAATGGCGAAAACTTTTTAAAATAATTCAATTTAATGGTTACTTAATTACATGAGATTTAAAAAAAAAAGTAATTGAAGAAACAAATGATACAAAATAATGGCGAAAACTTTTTAAAATAATTCAATTTAATGGTTACTTAATTACATGAGATGGAAAATGGAAAATTAAGTAGAATGAAATTAATCAAAAATATTTATAAACAGAAAAAACATTAAAAATATTTAAGATTTCACTTTAAGAAGAAAGCTAAATTTTGTCAAGTCATTTATGTTGTTATGTGCACTCAAGCGCATAGTTTGCGACGTTGAGTGCACCCTCGAAAGATTGTGCTGCTACACGCACCTTTGTCATAGTCGGTGTTGTTGCGGCCAAATTTTTCCTAAATTATAATATGTAAACAAATATTTTTAGTGGTATAAATAACCGCACACTATTCTTAAAAACAACAATAATGAGATAAGTAAATCAATATTTTTGAGGATATGGTTGTCCAAACATCATTAATTCACACAAGCAAAAAGTAATTAGCATCATGCATATCAATATAGACATATAGGTAAACAAATATATTAAGGATATAATTGTTTTGACACTATTTATAAGTGTTTTCTCATAGAAACTATTTATAAGTGTTTTCACATATTTATAAGTGTTTTCATCACCCTCCTCTATATAAGAATCAATCTCAACCCTTTATTAATTTTGATCAAACATCTAAAATGATCCTTTAGTAATGACATTTCCGTAATTTTGAAGAGTTCATATTTAGAACATAGAAAAAAATTTAGAACATAGAAAAAATTTTAGAGTATAAGCAGAAAAAATTTAGAACATCAGAAAAAAAAAAAAAATTAGAACATAAGAAAAAAAATTTAGATTTATGCTTGATTTTCAATTTTATATTTTTATGTTCTATTATATATATATATATATATATATATATATATATATATATATATATATATATATATATATATATATATATATATATATTTGTCTATGTTCAAAAAATTTGCCAATGTTCTAAACTTTTACCTATATTTTAAACTTATATTGTGAGCCTATGTTCTAATTTTTCCCTATGATTTAAAATCATTTCCTATATTCTTAGTATTTCGTGTATGTTCTAAATTTTTATGTGTGTTCTAAATTTCTTCCTATGTTCTAAACCTATCTTTTGAGCCTATGCTCTAATTTTTTCCCTAGGTTCTAATTTTTGTTTCTATGATCTAAATTTAGATTTATGCTTGATTCTCAATTTATGTTCGATTTTATATTTTCATGTTCTAAAATTTTTTTGTCTATGTTCAAAAACAATTTGTCTATGTTATAAACTTTTTCCTATGTTCTAATTTTTCCCCTATACTCTAAAATCATTTCCTATTTCTTAGTTTTTCCGTCTATGTTCTAAATTTTTTATGTGTGTGCTAAATTTCTTCCTATGTTCTAAACCTATCTTTTGAGCCTATGTTCTAATTTTTTCCCTATGTTCTAAAGTTATTTCTTATGTTCTAAATTATTACATTATGAATTGTGATCTAATTAATTCTAAATTTTTTCCTATATACAAAAATAATTAGGCTATAAGGAGAGATGATTAAGTTTATATATATATATATAGTTATTTATAAATATAATCTATGTAGGATTCGAACCTACATCATCTATGCAGTTTGCATAGTGCTCTACCACTTGAGCTAATAGATTTTTGGTATAGATCCAATGCACCGCCTTCCCATAGAAGTAGAGGATAACGATCACATGTAGAAACTCAAATGCCTCAATTATTACTACAACAACCACCATACAAATTACCAAACACAACTACTACAGTACTACTGGGAAGTATTATAAAGTAAATTACATCAGTCTGACAGAGGAAAATATACAGTTGGATGTTCATCCATTGCTCCATTCCTATAATATATAATGCAAATTTATCTACTGCAAGTACTAATCTAATTTTTTACTATAATACTCTTATTTTTACATGAACTAACCTAAATGACTAAATTTATGCAACTGACAGTAAATGCTTCAATATTATTTGCAATCTCATATGAACTCTAACAATGAACTATCAAAACCAAACATTCCAGTATACTTTTCTAGAGGTATACATGTTAAAAATATCAAAAATTCCTCGGACAATTATAGTACAAAATTGAACAAAATTGCAATACAAAATCAAATAAAATTGGAGTACAAAAATATTGGAAATTTGAAAAATATCGAACAAAATTGCAGTTGAAAATTCAAACCATTAATTGGAAAAAAAATCACTAAATAAATCGTAGAAATCGAGCCCTAAAATAGCAAAAGTGGCCTAGGTTTGGATGGGGACTACAAAAGGAGAAACATATAAATTAAAACGTATCTTTTTGACAAAAGGAAAGTATAACACTTGTTTAAATACAATTATATTTGATAAGTGTAACACATATTAAAACATGTAGGAAGTACGGTAGTTTAATACGAAATGTGATATTTTTTCTGTGTGGCTAGCCACACCATGCTGTCAGGGTTACTTATAGGGGTTGTTTATTCACGAGTTACTAATAGAGATTACTTATTCAGGGGTTACTTATTTAAGAGGTACTCAATCGGTCAAGGGTTACTTATTCTAGGGTTACTTAGTCAGTTAACGTCTTTTCACTAGGGCTACTTATTTAGGGCTACTCATTCGGTCATGGGTTACTTATTCTAAATTTACTCAATCAGTTAGCGGTTTTCTGTGTGAGAGTAACCCTTAACTGACTGAGTAACCCTGAATAAGTATCCCCTGCCCAACCGATTAACCCTTGAATAAGTAACCCTGGCCACATATAAAAATTAGAACTTTTTGCAAAATAACACCACAAAAAAGTCATAAAAATGGATTATAACACCACCTTAAAAAAAAAAAACTTTTATTATAATACCACAAAAGAATGCAAAAATTGGATTTCACCACCTGTTAACGGTCTTAGATGGAATCCAATACGTTAGTGAAGCCCACAATAGACATTATCCAGCGACCACCACCACCAGCTCTACATACAACCCACCACCGGCTTCCCCACCTCTGTCGCCAAGCCAAGCCAATCCCCGGAACCCCGTTTCTCGATGAACCCCATCGCCCCACCAGCCTTACCACCACCATAGCCCTCCGTAAAGCTAGAATTAACCTAGATTTCTGGGTTTATCGATGACAAGAGAGTAGGTTTCGGGGGTTGCCAGCGTTATAGGAAGAGGTTTCGAGGGTTTTCGGTGTTAGGGGAGGAGGCCAGGTTGGGGGTTGCTGGTGTTAGGGGAGGGGGTTTTGGGTAGTGTTGGTGTTAGGGGAAGGGATATTGGCGGTGCCGGTGTTAGGGGAGGGGTTTACTAGCGGTCGACTGGCTAATTTCGTCGTCAAGGGTGTGGTCGCCTGGGTTAGGGTGACGGCAGTGGGGGTGGTGGCTAGGTTAGGAATTTAGGGTTTTTTTTATAATCCAATAAATAATTGACATGTGTACAACGTGGAGGCTCACTAACAGTTTTTTTGGATGACAAAATTAAGTGGTGGTGAAATTCAATTTTTGGATTTTTTTAGTGGTGTTATGATTAAATTTTGTGTTGTTATAATAAATTTGAGTGATTTTTATTGTGTTATTTTCTAAAAAAAACCTAAAAATTATTTTTCAAAATAAGGGCATGTTCTCATACGTTTATTTTCAGTTCAGTTCAGCTCCTAATTTCCTTCTCTTATAAAATATTCATTTCATTTCAGTTCAGTCTATGAGAACAGGCCCTAAGTATAGTAGTATAAATTAACTATTACAAACCGTTAGTCAAACCAACTAGGGGTGTCCATTCGGTTTTCAGTTTGGATTTAGTCCAAATCCGATCCAATCCGAAATATTATTCGGTTTTCAGTTTTCCAATCCGATCCGATCCGAATTTCTCTCTTGATCCAATCCGATCCAATCCGAATTAAAATTCGATTATTTGGATCCGATCCGAAAATCCAAATTATAATACATTATTTTTTTAGCGCCTAATACAATTATATAAATAAAGCTTTACTATAAATAAAAGTCTTCAAAATCATGATTAAAATACATAGTTCAACGTCAAGTCATTAATTAATTAATACAAAGTCTCTCTAATTTATTTTATGTAGTATTAAGTATTTGAGCTAAACTTCAAAATATACAGAAATCTATATTTATACAAGCTTAATTTTACAATTCGGTTTTCGGTTTGGATTGGATCCAATTAGGGTCAATCCGATCCAATCCGAAAATCCGAATTTCCAAAAAATCTCAATCCGATCCGATTTAAAGTTCGGAGCCGATCCGAATTGATAATTCGGTTTGGATTGGATTGAATTTCGGTTTTTATCCGAATTATGGACACCCCTAAAACCAACAAAACATAACACACAAATGTAAGAATTCCAAAATCTTAGTGGCAAGAAGGTCATTTCGCAATTAATAGGCAAGATAAGATTGTTTGCAAGGCGAAAGGCAGATATATCATATACGATTCCCACCATATCCATACATTAACTGCATCTTTTTTTTTCTAGATTGATGGTCCTTCAAATTATAACTTGAAACACTTTCTGCAACTTAACATAAAATGGCTGCCAAAATTGCTTTGTCTTCCTCTTATATCACTACCAAAATTCATCTCTTACCGAAATTACCCTCAACTTCAGCTCCTCATATTCATTATCTTCCAAGAACTAGCACCAATTCACATTTCAGAATTAATGCAAAATTAGGTACTTTTAATCATCTCGTGTTTAATTTTCCCACTTTATAGTTAATACATCTGTTTTAATTAATTTAACATAATCTATAAAAATGGGAAATTTGTGTTGTTAGGTGGAGATGATGCAGAAGCAGAGCAAAAGAAGAGTGGGAAGAGGAAATTTATCACCAAAGAGCAAGAACCAGAACAGTGAGTCTCTTTTCTAATTACAATTATATATTACTCCTTCCGTCCAGAATTAATCGTCATTTATTTAAGTGTTTAAATTTTTGGAGAAAGATGTAATGTTTGCTAAATAATACAAGTATGATTAATGTTTTGGGTTCGTCTTAAACATTACTCGTATGTCACTACTTAAAGATTATCGAGTTTTACTCCGTATGATATTATATTAATAATTTTGCATAAAATATGTTGCACGGAGAATTATGAGTTGTTGGATCAATAAGATGGGTGTAACATTTGGTGAGACACTCAAATATATTGTGCAATATATTACATGGGGCTAAACATGTACAAATCGATATATGATTGGTTAAAGATTTGCGATTGAGATATTCTCGGGCTTTATCACTTAATTGTATCACGGAACTGCTTAATTGACTAGACTCTATGTACAATCGATATAGTGTCCTGTATCACAGAGTTGTCTAACTACCTAATCGATATAATTATGTAATTTGTATAGAGAATTGAAAAGAAAAGATTGTCATTTTAAGGTTGACTACCATATAAACATCCAAGAAAAGGCGATAAAAACTTAACTAATGAAGAGGTAAATCTTTACTTGGAGAGACGTACGTACCCAATGACTAACAAGAGTTGAATGTTTGATTATTAGACCAAATCAAGAAGGATGAATACTCTATCACTTCCCCTCACATGAAAGGCCCTTTGGGCTTGAAATGTGGATGCAACACAGGCCCACCCATACCTGGTGCGAATTAATTCCACTTTGAAGGAGGGGCGGATGAGATTCAAACCCGTAACCTTTGTGTCACGCTGGCTCTGATACCATGTTAAAGGACCAACTCAACCAAAAGCTTAAACTGATGGTTGAAGCCCAAAAATATGTTTTATACTCTATCAAAGACGAATCTAACAATATCTCACATGACCATATATTATTAAACGCGGGTCTAGGCCGCACCCACAAACCAATAGAGAGATAGTCCACTTCACAAGTTCAAGGAAGTTCCATTCCAAAACCATATGGCAATAGGAGAAGTAACCCCTTAGCCTTATAAAGTGTTTAAGGCTCTCTTCTTTTTATCAATGTGAGACACTTACATGTGTTATTTGGTAGGATAAACTTCAACACTCTCCCTCACATGTAAGGTCCCTTTAACTCAAGGATCACTTGATCCAATTTAATTTGGCCCAAAATACTTAATGACATTAAAGATCCCAAACTTTGAGCCTGACAATATACTCAAACCATTAGAGGTCCCATACTGTGGGTGGGCCTGGCTCTAATACAATATTAAACGCGAGTGTGGGCCGCACCCGCAAACCAAGAGAGAGAGTCCACTTCATAAGTCCAAGGAGGTTCCATCCCAAAATCATATGACAATAGGAGGAGTAACCCTTAGCCTTATAAAGTGTTTTAGGCTTTCTTCTTTTTATCTGACACTTACATGTGTTATTTGGTAGGATAAACTTCAACATATATCAATGGGCATTATTGGACAAAGTTTTCTAAGTTAAACGATTTTAACCATATAAAAATAGAAATGGGAAAAATATTATGGGATGAAAGAGGTATATACTCTACAAACCATGAATGAAACGCAGCCAGCGTGGTGACAAGGTATATAATTAAGGGTCGTGTGAATGAATGTTTAAAATGTTGGATAATGGTCGGTGTGACATATCTTATATGACGTACAAAGTATGCACCAATGCACTTGGACATGTGAGCCAGATTGAAAAACTTCTATACATGAAGTAAATATGCACCAATGCAATTGGACATGCATGTGAGCAAGATTGAAAACCTTGTAAATCCATATAACATTGCATTGGCACAATACTATATGTACTTCATAGCACCTACCCTTGACATTTATATCGTCATATTATGATCAAGCAAGCTAACAAAAATACATGTGTAGGTATTGGCAAACGGCAGGAGAAAGAGAAGGTGAAAATCCAATGGCAACTCCTCTTCCTTATTTTTTCATATTCGGAATGTCCACGCCTTTTATCATTCTAGCCATTGCATTTGCTAATGGATGGATAAAAACTCCCAATTAGATAAAAATAAATACTGTATCATATTGTTCAAAACTATATATAGTATATCAGGTTCGCAGCAGGCATCTATATCTGTCAGCAGATGAGATTTTGTGTAACTAGCACTTGGAGCTTCTATATATATACACATACAATGACATACTGTTGGATGCTATACTTACACACCCCTTTTGTATTGTGATGTATAATCTGTTATATGTATGTCTCGAATGCTCCATTTTGATGCATGTTCAGTTTATAGTAATAGAGGTCCAAGTTCACGGAGCCATTACCTAGAGTACGCACCAATATTAATGCACTGAGCCAAATACTATTAATACTACCAATTTGGCAGCCAGCCATGCATCTACTACCAAATTTTGTGTAACTAGCACTGGGAGCTGGCTTCAATATAAGTACAGAGTTTTTGGATGTTATACATACGAAGTACATGACTTTTCCTATGTGTTTATGTCAAATCCGAGCTTTCCATATGTTAAAGGACCAACTCAACCAAAAGCTTGTTATTGGTTGAGACCCAAAAATATGTTTTATATTCTATCACGCCCCTTCATACGAGAGCCCGTTTGGGCTAGAAGCATGGATGGGCATGGACCCTCTTAACGCTTAATTCTTTTTATAAAGTCTACAAAAAAATGGGGCTCATTCACTGATCTCATGTGTTGTTGACTCCTAACTCTTTCAATGCTTTTTAGAGCAAGATTAGCCCTATTTGGTCTTAAGATTTGTTAAGATAAGGAAGAATATCTTAGGGAATATATTTGATATATTTGTGTTTATATTATGATATCTTTAGGTAGGATAATATTTACTAAGATAAGATAGATATGAATTAGATTCCTACGTTGATTAGGTTTCTAAGATATGTGTATAAATATTGGATGAATGATGAATGAGAAGAGAGAGACTTTGAGATCAATTTATCATGGTATCAAGAGCCAGGGTAAGAATACAATTTCTTTGCCTTGAGTAAAATCTGAAATTAAACATACAATTTAATCGAACCGTAGTTGAAGCAGACCAAAGATGGGTGAAAAAACTCCGGTGGATTTGATGTATTATCTGGGATCAAGTGATGGTCCGGGTAATATCATTACGCCTATACAATTGCGTGGTGAAAATTACGATGAATAGGCTCAAGCGATGCGAAGGTCTTTACTGGCTAAGCGTAAATTCGGCTTTGTAGATGGTACTATTGTAATGCCAAAGACGGATGCAAAGAAGATGGAGGATTGGATTGTTGTTCAGTCCATGTTAGTTTCTTGGATAACTAATACTCTTGACTCGAAGGTTCGATCGACCATTGGAGATTATGATGATGCGAGTGTCCTATAGCAAAATCTTAAGAACCGATTTTGTGTAGTTAGTGGCACCCGTGTTTTTCAACTGAAGACTGCTTTGGGAGCGTGTCAACAGTCTTCTACAGAGTCCGTAGCAGATTATTTCGGCAGGCTCTCGAAGATTTGGAAGGAGCTCTTGAATTATGTTCGGGTTCCTAAATGCGGATGTGGGAAGTGTGAGTGTAACATTGTTACACAGGTAGAAAGTATTAGAGAAGAAGACTACCTGGATTATTTTTTGATAGGCTTGGACGCACACTACGCAGCGATTCGGGCTCAACTACTTGCACAATCACCTTTGCCAAGTGTGGATGTTGCTTACCAAAATGTAGCAATGGCGGAAAGACTGCGAGATGGGAGTATGAAGGTAGAGAATGCTGTGGCGTTTAAGGTGGACAAGGCAAAGCCAAAATATGAGGATAATAGTGACAAGTTTTGCAATCATTGTAATCGCATAGGCCATGACGAGAGTGGGTGTTTTCAGATCATTGGTTACCCCGAGTGGTGGGGGGACCGTGGTCGTGGAGGAAGAGGCAGAGGCCGTAGTGGAGGCTGTGGTGGCCGGGGAGGAGCACGCAATTCTGGCAGCAACTCGGCATCTACTTCATCACAGCAGCAGTCCGTGAGAGCCAACAAGGTTGGTGGTTCGTCACAACAACAATCGCAAGCCCCCTTGACTGATGATGCAGCAGCTAGTTTGGTTGGCGTGAGTGCTACTCAAGTCCAACAAATTTTGGACATCTTGAAAAATAACAAGTTTCATGGTAAGACAAATAAAATACCTTGGATTGTGGATACAGGTGCATCAAACCATGTTTCATGTGATTTGACGTTGTTTAAGAACGTGAAGAAAATCCAAAATTGTCCCGCAGGTTTGCTAGACGGAAACTCGGCTAATGCGGATCAATTAGGAACGGTGATATTGCCGGGTGGTTTACAACTCGAGAACATGCTTTACGTGCCTCAATTAACTTGCAATTTAATTTCTGTGACTCAATTAAATGATGAATCCAAGTGTATGATGCAATTTACTAACAAAATATGTGTTATACAGGATCCGCAGACGAGGAAGGTGATTGGTGTGGGTGAACGCGAGGATGGACTGTATATATTCCGGGGTGTGCCTCAAGTGAAGGTTCTAGCAGTAGAAGGAGATTCTTCGTTCGACTTATGGCATCAACGGTTGGGACATCCCTCAGATTCAGTTTTGAGAAATATTCCGCATGTGAGTAGCTCTTCTAGGAAAAATAATAAATTTGTGATGTTTGTCCTCGTGCAAAACAATCTAGGAGTAGTTTTCCAATTAGTGAAAATAAAGCAAGTCGTATATTTGAACTTGTGCATATTGATTTATGGGGTTCGTATAAAATACCAGCCTCATGTGGTGCCCGTTATTTTTTAACAATAGTTGATGATTTTACTAGAGGTGTATGGATTTATTTATTGAAAAATAAAACAAAGGTCGAATTAATGTTTTTGAATTTTGTTGCAATGGTGAAAAAACAATTTGATCATGTTATTAAAATTGTTAGGAGTGATAATGGCACATAATTTAATAACTTGAAGGATTATTTTCATCATAATGGCATGATTTTCGAAACTTCTTGTGTGGGAACCCCGCAACAAAATGGGAGAGTAGAGAGAAAACATCAACATATATTCACTAGTAGAAAAATTGAAAAATGCACCGCTAATTGGCCACCGGTTTTTGAAAACCGGTGGCTTAATTAATGGGCGGGATGAGCCAAACCATTTTTGCCACCGGTTCAAACCAAACCCGTGGCAATAATTAAAAGGCCACCGGTTTTGAACCGGTGGCAATATCCAGTTAAATTTCAAAAAAAAAAAAAAAAAGCGCCCATATAAAAACCCAACCCCAAGCCCTACTCACTCATCAGCCTCCCTCATTCTCTCTCTCCTCTCTTCTCCTCTCCTCTCCTCTTCTTCTCTTTCCTGCTCTATCGTCTTAACCACCACCGCCGTCGTCCCTCTTCTTCCCTTTCCTGCTCTCTCCCTCATTCGATCTCCTTCTCTTTCTTTCATTTCGATCATCGATCTCCTTCTCAATCTCCTTCTCGGTCTCCTTCTCGTCTCCTTCTCGATCTCCTTCTCGTCTCCTTCTCGGTCATTTCAACCACCACCGCAACAACAACAACGAAGACATGCACGAGGTTAGGTTTAATTTTGTGTTTAATTAATCGATTTTAATCGATTTTTGGATTTTGTTGGGTTTAATTAATTGTTAATTAGTCGATTTTGGATTTTTTGAGTGTTTTCATCGATTTTAATTGATTTTAATCGATTTTAAGTCGATCTCCTTCTAAGTTCTATTCGATTTTATTCTGTTTTTTTTTTCGATTTTGAGCTTGGGTTTTTACTAATTTCTGGGAATTTTGTTTATTTTTTTTTCTGGGTTTGTTTTTTCTTTTTTTTTTCTGGGTTATTTTTTCTGAATTTGTGTTTATTACACGTGGGTTCAGTTGGTGGATGGGTCTAGTGGGTGAAGGTGGGTGTTCGGGTGAAGGTTAAGGTGGTGCGGATGGTGGGTTAAGGTGGTGTTGTTGGTGGGTTAAGGTGGTGGGGTGGTGACTGGTGTGAGATAGTACTTAAAAAAAAAATTTGTGACATTTAGTTTAAAATGAAATTTGACAGAAAATTCGATTTTAATTCCATCTTCTTCTGGGTTTAATTCGATTTAATTCTTGTTTTTTTTTTCTCTTTTCTGAGTTCGCGAAAATCAATTTCAGGGATTTAATTTTATTTTTGTTTAATTTTTTTTCCTGGGTTTTTGTTGAATTTCTGGGTTTTTGTTTTTGTTTATGTGGGTTTTAAACTGATTTTAATTAATTAATGGTTACATGCAGTGTTTTGGTTATTATTATTTTTTTCATAGCTTATTTTAATCGATTTATTTTTTTGTTTTAATTGATGCAGGTATATTGATCAAGATCTTAAATCGAAGAACCAAGATGCAAGAATAGTGAATTAGATGTTGTATGGGGTTTTTTAGATTTTAATGTTGTAATTATATTTTAGTTTAATATTGGAATTTTAGTTTGTAAATCTGATTATCTTAGTTATTTGGAACTGTTTTATGAGAAATTTATTTGTAGTTATTATATACTGGTTATTGATGAATACATGTGTTTCATGTATATTATTCATATATATATATATATATGTTTCTGCAACATTTTAAGTGAAAAAAATGCAAAAAAAAAAAAAAAAAAATTTGTTTTTTTAGGGTATTATTTCCACCGGTTAACCGATGGCAATAGTTGTTAATACAAAAAAAAAAAAAAAAAAAAATTGCGGGAACGACTATTGCCACCGGTTAATCGGTGGCAATACTTGATTTTGCCACCGGTTTTGAACCGGTGGCAAAAGCTTCAGTTTATTTCCACCCCCCAAATGACCACCGGTTCAAAACCGGTGGCATAGGGGGGTTTTGAACTGGTGGCCAATTGATATTTTTGCCTAGTGATTGAATGTAGCCCGGTCTTTAAGATTTCAAGGGAATTTGCCATTAAAATTTTGGGGTGAGTGTGTTTTAGCGGCATGTCATTTAATTAATAGAACTCCAACTCCTTTACTTGATAACAAAACCCCGTTTGAAATATTATTCAATAAACCACCGACGTATGAATATATTAAAGTATTTGGTTGTTTGTGTTATGCTCACAATCAAAAGACCAAGGGAGATAAATTTGCATGTCGTAGTCGACGGTGTGTTTTTTTGGGATATCCATTTGGTAAAAAGGGTTGGAGAGTTCTAGATTTGGAAAACGGGGAGATATTTGTGTCCCGTGATGTGAGATTTTTTGAGAGTACTTTCCCATATATTGAAGATTTAGTAAAGGAAAAATCGGGGGTACATGAGCACTTACAGTTTGGGGTACTAAAGGATGTTTGTAGTGATGACGAGGGGTGGGGTGCAGCACATGAGGAGCCCGGGGTGCAGCACCAACAGCCCGTAGCCCAGCACCGGCTAGAGGGTGCAGGAGATGCCGCACAGCCCCAGGACAACGCTGACCAGCCCGCAGCAACACCAGCGGACGGTGGCAGGGAGTGTGGGAGTGACGGGCAGCAGCCAGGCACTGAGCAGCAGCGGCAGTGTCATGAGGGGCGTGCCAAGCCCGTGCAGCATCGTGGGGAGGGGAGTGTTGAGGACTTGGGGAAAGGTAAACGACCAAAGATACCAAACACTAAATATCGAGATTTTGTCACTCACACAATACGGAAATACAGTCCATCAACAAGTACATCGACTCCTATATTATCTTCCTCAGGTACTCCTTATCCTCTCACATATTTTGTTGATTCTCACGTTTTTCTGAGAAACATAAAAAGTATATTGCAGCTATAACAGCAGGGAACGAGCCTAGATCTTTCAAAGAGGCAATGAAACATGCAGGTTGGCGAGATGCGATGGCTGCAGAGATAAGAGCTCTAGAAGAGCAAGGCACTTGGGTACTTCAAAAACTTCCACCAGGGAAGAAAGCCTTGGGAAGTAAGTGGGTGTATACAGAGAAACGTGATGAGCATGGGAACTTGTTAAGATTGAAAGCACGATTGGTGATACTAGGCAATCATCAGGTGGAAGGTCTTGATTACAATGAGACATTTGCGCCAGTTGCAAAGATGACTACAGTTCGAACATTCCTAGCAGTAGCAGCAGTGAAGAATTGGGAAGTACATCAGATGGATGTGCACAATACCTTTTTACATGGAGACTTGGAGGACGAAATTTACATGAAAATTCCTCCAGGTTTCAATAAAAATAACTCTGATTATGTGTGCAGGATGAAAAAATCATTGTATGGTTTGAAACAGGCTCCCAGATGTTGGTTTGCAAAATTAACTGCAGCTCTGAAGAAGTACGGATTTAAGCAATCCTACTCAGATTATTCTTTGTTCACATTCACCAAAGGAAAATTGCAGTTGAATGTGTTGATATATGTTGATGACTTGATTGTTGTAGGGAACAATAAAGAAGCCTTATCAAAATTTAAGGCATACTTAGGAGATTGTTTTAGATGAAGGATTTGGGAGTATTAAAATACTTCCTAGGTCTTGAGGTTGCGAGAAGTAAGCAGGGAATTTATATTTGTCAACGGAAATATGCATTAGACATTATTTCAGAAACTGGTTTGTTGGGAGCTAAGCCTGCAGATTTCCCGATGGAACAAAATCATAAATTGGCTCTTGCGGAAGGCAGAGTATTGGAGGATGTGGAGAAATATAGACGGCTTGTTGGTCGTCTGATTTATTTATGTGTAACTAGACCGGATCTAGCATATCCTGTTCATATTTTATCTCAGTTTATGCAGAATCCGAAGGAAGTACATTGGGAGGCCGCACTTAGAGTGGTGCGTTATTTGAAGAAACATCCAGGGCAAGGAATACTTCTTCGCTCGGATAGTGGATTGCAACTTGAAGGTTGGTGTGATTCTGATTGGGCTAGTTGTCCTTTGTCTAGGAGGTCTTTGACGGGTTGGTTTGTGTTACTTGGTTTCTCCCCAATATCATGGCGGACAAAGAAACAACCCACAGTTGCTACATCGTCTGCAGATGCGGAATACAGGTCAATGACGGCTACGACGTGTGAACTAAAGTGGTTGAAACAACTACTACGAACTTTGGGTGTACAACATCCGCAGGGTATGAAATTATTTTGTGATAGCCAGTCAGCTTTGTACATTGCTAAAAATCCAGTATTTCATGAAAGAACAAAACATATTGAAATTGATTTGCATTTTGTAAGAGATGCAATTTAGGAGGGACTGATTTCACCTTCGTATGTACCTACGAAGGAGCAGCTAGCAGACATTTTTACCAAAGCCTTGGGGAAGGCTCAGTTCGAGACTCTACTTTCCAAGTTGGGCATTCGTGACCTCCATGCTCCAACTTGAGGGGGGATGTTAAGATAAGGAAGAATATCTTAGGGAATATATTTGATATATTTGTGTTTATATTATGATATCTTTAGGTAGGATAATATTTACTAAGATAAGATAGATATGAATTAGATTCCTACGTTGATTAGGTTTCTAAGATATGTGTATAAATATTGGATGAATGATGAATGAGAAGAGAGAGACTTTGAGATCAATTTATCAAGATTTTAATTAATTGCCACATCAGATTTTAAATTAAATATAATTATTTTTTTAATTTTAATTATGTTAAGACTCCTTAAGACTCAATCAGATTTATCTCTTCAATCCTAAGACTTATTTTAGATTTCTTAAAATTATTTATTACTTTTTTTTTGGTCTTTTAACATATATATTTCAATATATTTTTTTGAAATACATATATAATTTTAATATGATATAAATAAACAGTGGGATAACAATTTCTAACCCAATTTAGATGTATGTCATAGTTGAAAAATAATAG